GAAATGACAATTGTCAATCAAAAATTGCCATCACGTCTAATAAAGTTTCCTTTTAGTCTTGTGTCACTATAGAAAAGACAACAATTTATATTCGCAGTATTGAAATTAAATTCAACGTGTGTACATCGAAAGTGAACAGTCCATGTCGGTTTAGTTAAGTGAAAAAAGCGGAAATTGCGAAAAGGTTATACTTAGAAAAGAAGTCCGCTCTATTAACATCTACTTGAATATCAACATATATTAATAATTAGATAAATAATTTTTAGATTACTGTCTACATAATTTGATTTTTGTTTTCTCGTGACATCACTGATCATGTTGAACTTATCATCGAATTTCCAAGGAGAATCCAAAGAAGATAAACAAAAAAGAAAAAAGTGGCGATTGTTCAACGCCAAGGACTTTCAATCTCTTATGTATCCTTGTTTCACTTTGTGTCGTATTCTTGGAATATTTCCATATAAGAAAAACACTTCGACTTTCGAAGTTTCAAAACCATACTACATTTTATCGATTGTTGTTGTCTGCATTTATAACATTTACACATTAAAAATAATCTACGTTTTCTACGTTTATGTAAAACTGGAGATGAAAGACTTACCCATACTTCTTGTGCAGGCCTGGGCCGCAGTGCTTAGTAATTTCATGATAACCGTGACGTTAATTCTAACTGGCCCACGAATACGCTTGTTTCGGACTATAATGAAGATCTCTTCAAGACTTCCTTCAAAATCATATCAGAAATTATCTAGATTGATTCATGCTAAGGATATCATTGGTTTTCATTTAATTGGGTACTTATTAATATTTATTGCCGTGAAGCAAAGTAACGTCAATAATCTCTATATCCATCTAGTGATATTTCAGATGGATATGCTGTATATGAATTGCGTTTGTGTATTAAAGGAGTGTTTTAAAGAACTCAATGACAATCTGGCAAATATGCGAGAATTCATAGCTATAAACAACAAGCTACATGTTCCTAGACTGATCTATTACGAGCAGAAAACTCCATTTCTGATCATGGAGATCAAAGCTCTGAAAAAACAACATCTGACGATCAGTGATACGGTACAGATGCTCAACTCAATCTTCAGCTTTCAGCTTCTTGCTACAATAGTTATAACCATCTCCATTCTCACTGTGTGTCTATATTTCTACATAATTATGTGGCAACATTCTTTATCCACAACTCCAATAAATGGATTCTTTCACGTATATTTTCTGTCGCATATCGCCCACTATTTTATAAAAATAGTATTAATAGTATGGGCCTGCGAGACAGGCAAAAATCAGGCTCAACAAGTCGGCACTTCTATTCATGATGCTTTTAACAGCACTACGAATGAACAAATCAAAGACGAGGTAGTATAACGTTGAAATTTTATATTTCTTTTGAATTTTCATATTACTGAAACGGTTTTTAACACTTTTTTACTGGATTCATAATTATTTTTTCAATTCTGCGTTTATCACTTTCATATTTTGCAGCTACAACTGTTTTCCTTGCAAATACTTCATTGCAATAATACATTTTCCGCGAAATGTCTCACTGTTGACGCGAAGCTTCTTGCAGGAGTAAGTAAATAATTATATTAATTATATATTTATTATAATAAAATTAACTTCTATAATGTGCATAGATTATTTTTAAAATTTTCTTTCTAGATAATGGGTAGCATTATCACATACTTAATAATAATGTTTCAATTCATATCGGATTCTTGCAAAGGAAAAACAGCAAGCAATATTGCTGAAATACTCTAATTATAAAAAGATATTTTTAGTAAACAAATAAATATGCTTT